AGGATGCCTGAGATAATGAGAACAAAATCAGGAGTAAAGCAGAGCAAGAAGGATGTGAGAGAGCATGTGTGTACACACACACACACACTCATACTCACACATTTTATTTTAGTTGGATAGGAAAGAAAGTAGGTACCTGGCTGATTTTCTTGTGTTCTTATCTAAATGAGATAAAAAAAAAAAAAAAACCAAAAAACTAAACCTCTGTAAACATGAGCCATGGATATTTTGGTCATTAGGGTTACTGATATTTTAGCTTGAGATTAATACTGAACCTGCTCATCAATCACATACTTAGTGAAGATTGAGGCCCTTTTCTATCTCAAGTTCTATTAATTCTTTTGTTCCAGTTGTGGAAATTCAAAGATGGCTAAGACCTCACAATTTATTATGGGAGTCAGATAAGGAAAAAGATAATTAAAATACAACAAATAAGTATCATGAGGGGGTTGATTTGATGCTCTTTGTGGTTGTAATTGGAATTAATATTAAAGAATGAGAAGTAGGTTAGCAGTTACTAAAACTGGAGCGGATCTTCTAAGAAATGTATGCAAATGAAAGGAGGCCTTGCGGTGAGGGGCAAATTATCGGGTAGGGTTGGAGAACTACGTGTGTGAGAGGCAAAGAACAAAAAAGGGAGGGAAGGAGGTAGAAAGTAGATAGTGGACAAGGACAAGACTTCAAAGGCGTTGTGACATCGATAACAAAGTTTGATCTTATTCTTTGAGTGGTTGTGGGAATATCTGAGGGATTTTAGCCGAGGTAGAGAGATATTGAGTTGCATGTTTTGAACGAGCCACATGGAACATGGATCTTGAGGGGAAGAAGAAGCATTGAGACCAGTTGTTGTAAGACCTTTGTAATCAATCAGAGAAGGGTTGCCATGAATGCAAGTCTGACTTCCACGTCTTTATTAAACGGGTCCTTGAAATGTGTCTTTATTCACGGAGCCTAACATACAGCATCAGTGATGTACATACAAGTGAAGGTCAGGATAAATCATTGCAGACTTTATTCTGTTTTTCTTTTAAGATATATTTTTATGTATTTGAAAGGCAGAGTTACAGAGATAAAGAGAGACAGAAGGAAGTCTTCCATCCACTGCTTCCCTCCCCAAATGGCCGCAGCAGCCAGGGCTGGTCCAGGCCGAAGTCGAGTGCCAGGAGCTTCTTCCAGGTCTCCCACGTGGGTGCAGGGGCCCAAGCACTTGGGACATCTTCCACTGCTTTTCTAGGTTCATTGGCAGGGAGCTGGATCAGAAATGGAGCAGCTAGAAATCAAACTGGTGTCCATAAGGGGTGCCGGTGTCGCAGGCAGTGGCTTTACCTGCTGCGCCACAATGACAGCTCCCGGACTTTATCCTAATACTAACATACATCTGAATATACATTTAGAAATGTGTGAGGCAACCCCTAGACTTGTGAAAAATGATGATATATTCATAAAATAGCTTCCAAATGCTGTTGGTAAAGAATATGCATTGGCTTAGAAAAATGATCATATAATTATGTATGAAAATAACTTGTAAAGAAATATGTAAAGTATAATTCTATTTCAGTTTGTATTTATGAGAAGAAATTTTTTAACAATTATTTTTAAATATTTATTCATTTGAAAGGTAGAGTTACAGAGAGAGAGAGAGGGAGCGAAGGAGAAACACACAGAGAGAAATTTTCTGTCTGCTGATTCACTACCTAATAGCCACAAGAGCCAGCGTGGGCCCAGATTGATCCAGGAGCCAGGAACTCCTTCTGGGTCTCCCGTGTGGGTGTAGGGCCCAAGGACTTGGGCCATCTTCTGCTGCTATCTCAGGCCCATTAGCAAGGAGTTGGTTTGGAAATAGAACATTTGGATCTTGAACCAGTGCCCACATGGGTTGTGAGCATTGCAGGTGGTGGCTTTACCTGCTATGCCAAAATGCTGGCCCCAAGAGAAATTATTTTAAAGAACACAAATTTTCCTTACTTATTATATCTAAAGAGAGAGGATATAGAGCTGTAGGCAAGAGTTTAATGCATGTGTGAATGTATTTAGCTCTTCTTATATGTATACTTAAAAGAAATAATGTTTTATATTTGGACTGGAAAAAACACAAAACTGAGTAAAAGTCTGTAATTTTAAGAGTAGTTATACTTCAGGGGCTGGTACTGTGGCATAGTGGGTAAAGCTGCTGCCTGCAGTGCTGGCATCCCATATGGTTGCTGGTTCTTATCCTGGCTGCTCTACTTCTGATCCAGCTCTCTGCTATAGCCTGGGAGAGCAGTAGAGATGGCCCAAGTCCATGGGCCTCTGCACCTGTGTGGGAGACCTGGAGGAAACTCCTGGCTCCTGGCTTCGGATCAGTGCAGCTCCAGCCATTGCTGCCATCTGGGGAGTGAACCAATGGATAGAAGACCTCTCTCTCTGCCTCTCCTTCTCTCTCTGTGTAACTCTGACTTTCAAATAAGTAAATAAATCTTTAAAAAAGTAATTACACTTGAGATATGAGTTGATTTTTACTTCCTTATTTACACTAATCTTTATAAAATTTTTTTATTATTTTTATTTTTCTCTTTTTTAAGTTGACAAATAATGTGTATATTTATGGGATATAATGTGATGTTTTTAATCTGTGTATACACTATGGAAAGATTAGGCCAAGCTAATTAAAATATCCAAATATCTCAACAATTTGTCATTTCTTTGCAATGAGGATATTAAACATCTATTCTTCACAGCCATTTTGAAGAACACAATACTTTTAAGATTTTATTTATTTATTTGAGAGGTAGAGTTACAGACAGTCAAAGTGAGAGACAGAGAGAAAGGTTTTCCATCTTCTGGTTCATTCAGCAAATGACCACAATGGCCAGAGCTGGGCTGATCTGAAGCCAGGAGCCAGGAGCTTCTTCTGGGTCTCCCATGTGGGTGCAGAGGCCCAAGTACTTGGGCCATCTTTTGCTGCTTTCCTAGGCCATAGAAGAGAGCTGGATTGTAAGTGGAACAGCCGGGACTTGAAGTGGCACCCAGGCACTACATTTGGCAGCCTTACCCACCACGCCACAGTACCAGCCTCCACGACACATTATTAACTAAGTGCAGTCAGCACGCAGTGCCATAGGTTACTAACACATACTCCTGCAGGCTGAGACTTTGAAACCTTTTATCAACATCTTCCTTTTCTCATTCTTGCCTCCTCCATCACTGCCTCCATACCTTTGGTAATCATCTTTCTACTTTCTGTTTCTAGGATATTGACTTAAAATCGCACGTGTGAGAGAGATTATACAGAGTTTGTCTTTGTTTGCCTGGTTTCTTTCACTTAGCACAGTGTCCTCCAGTTCCAGCCACGCTATTGTGAATGAAAGAATTTATGTATGTGATCGTGTAATATCCCATTGTGCATGTCTACCATGTTTTCTTTATCCATTCATTCTCGATGGGCCCTTCTGAGGCTTCCATATCTTGACTATTGGGATGAGTGCTGAAATCGATGTGAAAATACAGATATCTTTAACATACTGATTTTAGGGAGTCCTTATCCACTATTGATGGGAATGTAAATTAGTACACGTATTTTGAAAACTAGCGTCAAGGTGCCTCAAAACACTATAATAGAATTACCCTGTGATCTGGCAATCCCACTTCTGGGATCTTTGCTTTTCTCGTTTTGCTTTTCTTTACTTTTCAAACCTATAAATACGCATTCATATTGCCTTGGTCATATAAAGAAACAATTGTAAGTACGAGGCTTAGTCTGCAATGCTCAGATGAAAGGATTAAAGAACAAGCTATGTATCCTGCACATAACAGTCACCCTGTAATTGTGCTGAATTACCTACAAAACACTCAGTTTAAAGCCACTGTGTCTTGGTAGGTCTGTTCCTCATAGTGAACTTACAGCTCCCACAGGGACAATGGCACTGATGTGTTGAAGAAAGGAGAAGGGAGGACATCAGCAATAGACTTGGCATTGCTCTTGCCTGGGCCCTTTGGGCCGAACTCACCCAGCCCCGTAGGGGAAAGAGAGTTTAGACGAGCAGCCCTGCAGCCACTTCATTTGGAATTGTTCATCTTATTCCCCTGACTCTGATTCTGTGTTCACCACACTAGCAGCTTTCTGTTTATAATTTGGCTTTCTGTGAAATTCTCTCTAAGGAGACAATCAGACTTGGCCCACACAATTCCTACTTTGACTTTCAATGGAGACCTGACAAAAAGTCTCTCATAGTTTTTATGTCTCTAAGAGTCTGTGGACCTCTAAAAAGAGTGATCAAATTAAAATTTCAGACCAGTCCTGGAAGGTGGTGGATCCATCTAAACACCCTTTTCCAGGACTTGCATTGGTGGCCTGGGTGTCCTCTCACTTTTCCCAGGGGGAAACCCATCTCCATGTAGACTGGCTGCAGCCTTCATATACAAAATCAGTATACAATATTAATGCCCAGAACACAGATTTATTATAAGGATGAAATAAAATAACACCTGAATGTCAGTTAGCAGAGTGCCTGGCACAGAGCAAGTTCTCAATCAATAAGATTTATTACTTGTATTTCTGTTAATAATGTTTATCACTTCATCAGTAGTAGATATTAATGGAGTTACATGCTAAAGTGATGCTTTAAAGGCATTTTTGTTTAGATATCAATACCTATTATAATAAAATAAGCCCATGTTCTTTTTGGGGTACTTGCATTATCAGAGAATCGTGAGTTTGAGCATGTACAGTGAAAAAAAATACCAGGTGAACATGTCATAGAGAAATTTGTCTGTATGTCATTTAGTGTTTCTTTCTGCTTCCCTCTGTGTGTGTCTCCCTCCCTCCACCCTTTCTCTCCACCACCTCCACCCCCATTCTTTTCTTCTTTTTTTTTGACTTTTGGTTCAGAGTGGTTTGTTGGAACAACTAAGTTCAAAGAAGATAGAAAATGATGAAAACAGCAAACATTCAACAACTCAGTCTTCTGGGTTCTGTTATTCTGTCGAGTGGCTGATCTTTTATTATTTTTTTTTAACTTCAGGTTATATTTAAAGGGTCACACTGGGACAGCAGGAAAACAGAGCAGCCTGATCTTACATGGTGCTGATTTCAGCACTAAAGATGCTGATAATGACAACTGTATGTGCAAATGTGCCCTCATGCTTACAGGAGGTAAGTCCTATGGGGCTGTTCTCTAAGTTTTGTTTCATCGGTTTGAGGCTTGAGGTTTCTTATCTTTGAGGAAGGGGTATGATCTACTGGTCAGAATACTTAAGAGCAAGTCCCCAGAGATCACATTGTCCTGCCCACTAATTTCCCCTCTGCTCTTGTGCAAGCCGTTGCTAGCATAGAGAACTGCCTGTTCTTCAAGCATGTATAATGGGTTATGCTAAGCTTGGATCAGAATACATTCTTTAGCCTCCTGAAAAGCCAGCTATTCTATCTTATAAATCATCATCATCATATCCAAACCAGGATGAACAACAATTTGGGAATTCAGCACACACTGCAATTGCTTGTTACAAAATGCTTTGCAATCATTAAGTAGAGTTTGTTGATCATTTTTAAAAATGTAGTAAGAAAAATAAAGCTACTTGCACATTCATCTGCTTAGATGCTCTTTCTCTCTCATTCTCTCACAAAATATGATATTGCTGCTAAAATTGTTACATACTATGAAATGTCATTGCACATGTTACTCTATGTTACTTGACTCCAGATCAACTCTATGAGAAAAGCAGTTAGAGCAACTATAATCTCTGCTTTATAAATAAGGAAAATGAAAGACAGGCAATGTTCATCATTTCATCCCTAACATATAATGCAGCCGGCGCCGCGGCTCACTAAGCTAATCCTCCGCCTTGCGGCACCTGCACACTGGGTTCTAGTCCCGGTCGGGGAGCCGGATTCTGTCCCGGTTGCCCCTCTTCCAGGCCAGCTCTCTGCTGTGGCCAGGGAGTGCAGTGGAGGATGGCCCAAGTCCTTGGGCCCTGCACCCCATGGGAGACCAGGATAAGTACCTGGCTCCTGCCATCGGATCAGCGCGGTGCGCCGGCCACAGCGTGCTGGCCATGGCGGCCATTGGAGGGTGAACCAACAGCAAAGGAAGACCTTTCTCTTTCTCTCTCTCTCTCACTGTCCACTCTGTCAAACAACAACAACAACAAAACATATAATGCAGCAGATGTGACACATGGAAAATCAGTAGAAAATATGGTGCCTGAATGAATGAATAGCCATCTTGAACACTGGAAATCACCTTTGAATTTTGAATGAAACTAATCATTAGGTTGACTTTTTTTTTTTTATCCATCAACAGAGCATGCAAAATGACGGAGGGAAGGATGTAGAAACCTTTTTCTCTTCCTCCCTATCCACAGCCCCTCCACTTCAGCTAAAACCAATTCCCAGCCCATTGCCTATCATCTCCACACTTATATTCACAGCACTTCAGTGTGACACCAGCCTCATTATTGTCCAAGATAACTTGTGATTCTGTCTCCACCATATCCTTCAACATTGAACATACCACATTCAGCCTCATCAAACATATAAAACTCTCTTTTATGTAATTGTATGATACTCTCCTGCCTACTCCAACAGTTTTGACAAGTCCAGGTTCCTTTTAAAAAATGATAATTCAGGCCAGCGCCACGGCTCACTAGGCTAATCCTCCGCCTAGCGGCGCCGGCACACCAGGTTCTAGTCCCGGTCGGGGTGCCGGATTCTGTCCCGGTTGCCCCTCTTCCAGGCCAGCTCTCTGCTGTGGCCAGGGAGGGCAGTGGAGGATGGCCCAAGTGCTTGGGCCCTGCACCCCATGGCAGACCAGGAAAAGCACCTGGCTCCTGGCTCCTGCCATCGGATCAGCGCGGTGCGCCGGCCACAGTGCGCTGGCCGCGGCGGCCATTGGAGGGTGAACCAATGGCAAAGGAAGACCTTTCTCTCTGTCTCTCTCTCTCACTGTCCACTCTGCCTGTCAAAAAAAAAAATGATATTCATAGGTTATGACTTGAGTATTTTTTTCTGAAAGAAAATTTTTCATTTCATTACTCCCCTAAGCCCATACGTGAAATTGTCAGTAGCTTTATACAAAGACAAAATAATTTTGATTTTCTAGTTTCCTGACCATTTTAATGTTTAAATACACTTAATTTCTTCCATGTTTATTTTTACAGATAATTTTTCATACCAAATAAATACAGTACATGAAAGACCAACAGCAAAATCTTTCAAATATGTCTTTAGAAGAGCGTTCCAATATGTTCCTATTCCTGTCATAATAATGAAAATATGGAATGAAACAAAGAGGAGACTGCACCTCTTAGTTGTTCAAAAAACTTCATTGCTCAGATTTATGATTTTTTTTTTGCCCCAGGTGATTGAACTTTGTCATGTTCTTTCATCCATAATCATTCTTGGACCTGCTTCTTACTCACCAATAAACACATATGTTTGGGAGAGCAAATTTCCACTTATTGCTTGGGTTGAAACAGTCTAAGTAAATGTGTTTTTGTAATAAACGCCATCCCCCTATCAAATATCCTTTTAAAAGAATCCAGGTCTTGCAAAGTCATTCACTCACAGAGCTGAAATGTGGGATTTAGATAGCTAAGAACTGGAGAACATAAGGATGGATGTCAGTGACAGTCCAAGTAACTGGAGTATTGCCTGGAACTTAGGTCTGACTTAGCTGTCCCCAACACCACTATTTATTCACTGTCAGATTTTTCCTTAGAACTGTTTTCTTTGTCTAATGATTTTTCCTTCCTTCCTTCCTTCCTTTTTTTTTCCTTTTAATTTGGATCTGAGCATGTTGCCTGTTTAGAGTCTCTTCAACAGTGAGAGACTTCATTCTCTTTGGAACTAATAAGTCTTCCTGTTCATCATTATCAAAGATTTCTTCTATCTTGTTTATATATTTTCCTTTGTTTCTTCTAAAAGGAATTAAGGGTACAATAAGATTTATTGTCTGCTAACTGTCTTAGATAATTTTCTTTCAGTACATGGAGGTATTTGAGTTGGAGAGTGTGGTTTCCTTGTTATCCTTATCTGTTCAAGACTGAACCACAGGAGATAGGCTTAATTGAAAGCAGAAGGTATTATAGCTAGACACACGGTAGAACATTTTGATCTTTTTTCCTTCTTTCCTTACATACAAATTCATTAACTTCCTTCTATCAATTTATCCTATTTTTAGGGCGTATCTATTAAGGGATTCTACAGTTAAAAGAGATGAGTGAAATAGAATAAGCTCATATCTATAGAGAGAGAGATACAAAAAATAAAAAATAAATAAAACAGTTTTATACTATAATAAGTTCTGTGGACAAAACAGAGCATGTGCCAGAATTATTAGAAGAAGGGGCTGGAGATATCAGGAAGAATATCTGGTCAAGATATTCTTGTCAAGTGTCACAAGCTGAAATGAGTTCTGGAGGACTTTTGGTTATGGATACCATCAGGAAGAGACCAGAAATCATTTATTCAAAAGAGTTTATACATGTTACTGTAGCTATGGGTCTAAGAAAAATAGCCTCTGAATGTGGCAGATACTAGAAGAAATCAAGCAAATTGTTTTTCAGGGCATAGGTGATAATTCATATTACTCATCATTACTGAATAGAAAAAATGCATCATAGGCTGAGAAAGCATCATACAGTTGCATGCATACAGTTGCAGTACTAGAGTTATGATGTTGTATATACTTTCTAGAAATGCATTTATTCCTAGCTTCTCAGAAAGCTGGACATTCTCTCAGCCTATTTAAATATTGTATTTTATGTTTCAATACACATCTCTAATTGGACTAGAACATGTAATTCAGGATCAAAATTGTCTCATGTATTTTTGATGTAAATGACTTTTAATTAACCATTGAATAGAAGTGTCTTGTCTGCAACGATTTGTAAACCACAAAAATCTTTGCTGGGTGATTGCCAATGGCCTTAGGAAGATCTGTAAGTTATCGCCTTCTATTTTCCACTTTAAAAAGCTATATGACAAGTCTGTATGTGTGTGTAGTGGAAGGATACATGTAAGAACTGATTGTAGGAAATATTTTCTTGGTCTCCCTGGAGAGTTCCTTTTGTATATTCTTGAGCCCAGAAAAGAGATTGGTTTCATTAAAAAGTTAACAGTTTTATGTTCTGTTTAACTTAAGAAATGAAGATGTAATTGAAGTGCATGTTTTTGTTTGTATATATTTATCATATATAAAATAAATATGCAAAACCCCTATGACTTCATAATTAGGAAACTGAAAAATTTTATTACTAGATGGTCACATTCAAAGTGAAATTATGTTCAATTAAAACATGATCTTTGGTAGTAGGTGAGGATTCTTGAAAATAAGCATTTCTAAAAGTTTGTTTATGCTATAATTATTAAACTGTAAATATTAAATTTGTATTATGTAAGTATTAAATACTTACCGAAGGAATTATGTCTAAGACTGTTGTAAACTATAATTACTAAAGGTTGCCAACAACAAAAAACAAACAAACATGGCTGTTTTGCATTCCTTCTCTTACTTTACTTTTCATTCAATGCAACTGCTGCATTTAGCACATAATGTAAAAGTTATATAAAAATGTGACCTAACCTTCTGCAGAAGGAATCTGTTGCGGTAGAAACTCTGATCTCTTTTCCCACACATAAACCATGTCAGCTGACAGACAAGACTTTCTAAAGTTAACAAAGGATATTTCTTGGTGCAGTCCTAAATGGAGGATAAAGCCATAGACATAAATTTCTTAGTTCACCCTACAACTTACCAGATGCTAACAGTGGAGAACTGATAAATGCTTGCTTTGCCTTCTATAAAATCAGAAAGAAAGAAAGGAAGGAGGCAGAATGGAAGGAAAGAAACTAGCACTTTTTCAGCTGGTGAATGAAATTTAGGGACAAGATCTGTGTGAAACCTAATCACCTTATATTTCTATCAGCCCAGGTAGAGCGTGCTGAGCATTGCCATGTAACCGGCAATCCCTAGGTTTTTAAGGTAAAAATGTTGAGATTCACAGGGCTAATTGAAGGTTACCTGAAGAATTTGATTTTGTATTACTTGTATTTTAACCCAGTTTATATATTTAGTATATAATATGTAAGCCTATTCCACAGAGTGTGCATTTCTTGAATACAAGCAGTTTATGCTGTTCACCACTGTGTCTCTA